AATAAGCAAACATTAGAATTGTAACATCAAAGAAATGCATTCTATAATACAGTATATTGCAGCACAGTTTTAGAATAAAAGGGAAGGAAGAAGCTACAGTAGTAAGGAAAATACAAACTGAATGATCAGACCAAGAGTGCAGCAAGAATCTGTTCAAATATCATACAATTGTAGTGACTGCTACGTGGCCAAGTGGATCTCTGTTTTCCCAGGCACTAGTGGGTTTCTTTTTCTTTTCCCTGGTGTGTAGTGGCATTGGATTCCTATTATGTTCCAAAAAGTTCTTCACAGGAAGTCAGAATATTAAAAATAATTTTTTGAAATAATTTTTAAAAATAATTTTTTGCAGGTTTTGAAAACCTGCAAAATACAGTATTTCAATTTTTTAAAAAATCAAACCCTAAGAATCTCTAAGGGCCACTTGAGACTAAGAACTTGCACTGTTCTGAAAGTTCTTGCCTGCCCTCAACTCTGAATGAGGTCCATTATTTGCTTTAGTGGTTATATGTATAATTAAGCATGGTTAATATCTCTGATCTGGGGCTACTAAAATGCAAGGGATAACAGCTGCTCTCAATCATATCAGGCCAATACTTAGGCAAGTGATTTGCATGAAAAGGCATTCCATTCACAGCCACCTACTTCAAGCTGCCCATCTATGCAAATCAGATTAAATATAAATGGCCAAATTACCTCTAATGTCATTATACAGAAGTTAATTGACAGCAGGGGTGGATTTGGCTCAGCATCTCTTAATCTTGTGGTTCTATATGCTTAACAGCACTTCTGCAGTGAAAAGCCAACATCCTATGTCTTAATTTTTCACCTGCTTTTATATCCCTGGCTGCTTCCCGCAGTATGTGACACACACATCAGAAAGTGCCTATCTTTTCAATCAAAATATCAGCAGTAAAACATCAGCAGAACTTAATGGAATGCATTAATCAGGTAAAGCTTACTTGTGGTTACAATGTAGGCCAGAGGATTCAGATATAACTATTGAGGCTTACACTATACCAGCTAGCTCTTCTCAAGCATATCACAGTGGTAATTATATCTCAATGCATAAATATCTTGCCGCACTAATTGGGTAAAATTTAAAAAGAGCATAATGCACAAAGTTTTTTTCACTTCTATTTGTTTGTATATGTCAAAGTTCAGGTGATCTTCCAGTTTACTCTTCTGGACTTCTATCTGTTCATATTTGTCAAAGATTAGTTTATTTGACAGTTGGGTGCTAAGCAAACTTACTCCCAGCATGTTGCTGCAACAAACCAATACTTTTCAATGTGCATGGCAAGAACTGACCTTAAATACTATCAGTGCTACCACATTTCACTGTATTTCAGTTTTTAAAAACTCTTTGCCAAATCAAGTGGTTTTAAGCTATTGGAAATAGGTAACAGACATCTTGCAATCACTTGCAGATAAAGTTTAGTAAGGAGGACAGTATATCTAGAACAGCCTTGCCATTTCACTGTCCATTGTACCAGAGACAATGGTTAAATAGCCCCTGCTCACCTGCTCTAGAAGTTTAAATCCCAGAACAGGAAATACACTGTCACACACACACCCCAGTGTAGTATTTGATAGCAAGATGGCTGTCAGCTGCAATGGCCTCACCTGACCACAGCTGCAGGGTTTTGTTTCCACAGCCAGAGCTCAGGCAGTGGAACACACCAGGCTGGCAGCCCCACACAGCCTTTGGTGTGAGTTTCTCTGCTCTGAAGTATTTTGAGCCCTGGCTGTCACAGCAGGTGACTGATGTGATTAGAAGAAGTTTAATGACCTCCACCAGACAGGTCACAGTACCATAAATTGCCTCTGTAAATTATGCAGTGAGAATGTGAAAGTGGTTTAAGCATAAACTCTTACCCCTCACTGTTGAGATGAAGAGCAAGGGATGGGAACACCTTGCTTTGAAATGATTTCTTGCTCAAGTAGCCAGATAAGAGATCAGTCTCAAGGTGTGAGGTTTAGAGGAGCAACAAGTCAGCCATAGCTCAAGGAAGACATGAGTTTCTTCTTTGCACAGCAATATGTAACATTTTAGCCCAATAGGCAGTTGACACGAAACTTGTTTACACTTATTTACACTTTACAACCTATCACCTTTACTTAATTTTGCTGCACTGCATCTCTCTCTTAGCCACTAAGCGGACAGGTCACATACTCATGCACACCTCTGTTAGAGTTTCTAGATCTCTAACCTACTCTCTAAGTCACACTATTACAGCTTAAACTTCAAACTATTTTACCTAATATGATTTCTTACCTACTCTAGGCATATTCATAATTATAGGAACATAAGTTTATCATTTCTCTACCCAATGTCCTTCATCACTACAGTGTACCTTCATCACTACATCAATCCAAGCTCTTTCCAAGGCTGCAGATTGGACCCTTCAACATTTGTGGAAGTTTCTATTTTTTGGTTTCCAACACCTCACCAAAGGAGGATCAAGCTACTCTGAAGAGACCACTTTACCACAGGAGGATCTACACAGAGTTTTACCAATCATGTTGCACATCTGCTGCTTTCACATGTTGGTTTGCTACGACTTTTAGTAGGGGAGAAAAGAACCTAAGACATTCCATGCCTATTACACCACGTGTCACAGTATTGTCACAGTACAGCTGGCCTGGACAAAGTAAATGAGCATAACACAAATCCAATTTGGCTGGCCTAGTTCATGCCTGAACATGTCCCCAGATAAGTTACAGGGGACCCTCAGCCAGTCCCATCCAAGCTGAGAAGCAAGCACATCACTGGCCAGGAAGCTGTGCAGGGAGAGAGATCTCAGGCAATAGGTATCAAGCCCAGAATTTTTTAATTGAGTATTTAAGTGAGTTCTGAATAATAAATGAGGCTGTTTGTCTCATGAGCACCTGAATCACAAGTTGTGGAGTTTTCATCTCCCCACCCATGACTGGCCATGGTACAACCAAGTATTCCAACAACTCCCCTTTCACACAGATATTTCCTTGTGGAATAACTGTTCATAACGAGTTACTCTGTTAGTGAAAAGAACAGTTTTGATTCAGAGGGGCTGCCTGTACATTTATACTATTGTTACCTTGCAGGAGTCCTTAGGGCCCACTGGTACTGCAGGTATGAGTAAATGTGATCACTATGTACAAAGGGAGAAGTTCTGTCCTCCACTGATGCTGTAAAAATCCCCCCGACTTCTTGGGACTTGTTTTATTTACTGAAAAGCTATTCAAAATTCTTTTTGCATATAGATAAGGAAGAAATAATAACATTCACCTAATACAGCTGCTGTGGAGCTAAATTTTTTTTTTTCCTTAAAGATGCTACAGAGCTATAAAACATTACAATTACACAAACTATAAATAAAACATGAACTGTAAATACACAGTTACAAAAACCTAAAACATGTGAAAAATTGTAGTTTTTGCTGCTGCAATGCGTTAAAAAGTTTCTTTTTCAACACATAGTGGATGGGAGGATGCTCAGACCCTACTAAATTTGTCTGGAAGTGATACCCTGTGAGAGAAGGCTTCATGGACCTGAGTCCTGTATGAGGAATGAATAAACAGCTTGAGAAACATGCAAGACTCATGTCTCTCAAACCAGGGAAAGCTGACAACTTCGCTATGAGGAGCAGGAACTTTCTAAGGAGTTTTAATGTTAAATAACTAGAAAGGAAAATCTTGTGTGAAAATGTGTTGGTTTTATGATCTTATCTATCTGGCTTAAAAAATACACTATGTTAGAAAATGGAGTTTCTGAGTGCATTTCATTAAGCATAATTTATCCATAATAAATAGAAATGACCTTTTTTTTAAAAAGGTGTTTTACACAAGACAATGTCTTGCCTCAGGGACAAAGTAATAACTAAAAAAAAAAGTAATGGGTGCCTTAGCATGCTAAATGTAATATAATTAATTTCCCCATACAATACGGAGTCTCAATATAGTGATCACTAGGAGAAAGACATTATTGCCATCTCCACACAGGCATTATTTTCTTAGGTAAAATAACTACTCATTACTGTCTTGTGCAGGCAGCCCTTCTCAGAACAGATCCCAACCAGCCACTGTTAACACCTTATTACTGTAGCATTATTATACTAACACCCACAAGACACAGACAAATGAGTGTTGTAAATGTGAAAAAAAATTCTCCACAATATCTTCCCCCCCAATTTACAATCCAAGTGCAACTTAAGAGTGTAGATGCAGATACAGTCTCAAACACAAGAAGGCAACATGAATATCTCTGTTAACTATGTATATAGTTACCAGGAGAAAATCAGTATCAAGAGAATTCTGCACACCTGCCATTACAGACATCTGCATGACAATTCTCAATTCAAAGCAACATCAAAACCAAGATAAAACATCAGCAGAAGAAATGTGAGGACCTCTTGTGTCCTGTCATTAAAAAAAAGCCAAAAAACAAGTGAAATGTGGGCTACTAGTGCTGTATATTGTCAAATATCAATTCTAAGAATTTCTACCCACACATTTAAGAGAAGAGGAAACCAAACATACAGTCTTAGTCCTCAGCTTTGAAGCACACCCAAGACTGAGCTAAGTAACTGGAAAGGCTGCTAGTTATCTGCTAACACTATCACCAAAAACTGGGACAAAATTTCCCTGAGACAAACCCCAAATTTTAATGTTGCCAAGTGCAAGAAAGGTAGAAGTTTTTAAAAGCAGTCATTCCCAGAGGTATGAGCTCAAACTGCCTTAGTTCTAGTTTGGTGCTTTACTCTCCAGAAGGCCTCTGGCTCTCCCGCTGCCAGCCCTGGGCAGGACTTGTGATTTCAGCAGCTTTATATTTAAAACTTTAAAGTACGTGGGTTTAGGAGGCTTATCTGCTTCAACAAAAATCTGGCGTCTTTCTTAACAACTATTTTTTTTGCCATAAACGACCCAATTCTAGAGGTCGAGATTTTATAAAAACCTCAAACGCTTCAAAACTGGGGCTTCATTGAAAACTGGTTGTCTTCACGAAGATGCCACAACGGTACCTCCTCACACAGCGCATCAGGAGCTCCCGCATCCTCCGGCGGCACCGGGCCGTCCGCACCTGCACTTCCCGCACCGCCGGGAGGGGGAGCTCCCCGGCAGCGCCTCCGCCGGCCCGCGGGCTGAGGGCCGGGGAGGAGGCTCAGACCACCTCAGGCAGCGGCGGGCGGGAGCTGAGAGCAGGGAATGGAGGCTCGGACCGCCTCAGGCAGCGGCGGGCAGGGATTGTAGGGCCGGGGAAGGAGGCTCGGACCGCCTCAGGCAGCGGCGGGCGGGAGCTGAGGGACCGCGGGCTGAGGGCCGGGGAAGAAGGCTCGGAGCACCTCAGGCAGCGGCGGGCGGGAGCTGAGGGCCGGGGAGGAGGCTCTGACCGCCTCAGGCAGCGGCGGGCGGGAGCTGAGGGCCGGGGAGGAGGCTCTGACCGCCTCAGGCAGCGGCGGGCGGGAGCTGAGGGGCCGTGGGCACTGCCGCAGCGGCGGTCCCGGGGCGGGGCCTCGCGGGGCGGGGCCGCCGCTCCCCGCGCGCCGGTTCCGGTTTAGCGGCGGGCGCGCAGCTCTCGGGTCTCGGCAGCCGCGGTGCCCGGGCGCGTCATGGCCGCTACCGCGTGGATGCCCACGGTAGGCAGGGGGATGGGCCGGACCCTGCCCCGTGGTGCCCGGGACTTCCCCCGGAGCTTGGTGGCGCCTGAGGCGCGGCCGCCCGGCCGCAAGGTCGCGGTGCCGCCGGGCCCTGGCAGCGCTCCGAGGGCGAAGGACCGCGGGGCTTGGGCCGAATGGCGTCCCCGCGGCGCTCGCGGGCTCTCTCCTTCCTCCTCCCCGGGACGGCGGCGGGAAGGGGCCATGGGGGCCGTTATTCGAGCGGGCCGGGCCGGGCCGGGGGTGCGCCGCGCCATCCCTTGGAGCGGCCTGCGGAGAGGTCGCGCCGTAGAGGTCACAGCAGCGGCGGGACCACTGCGGCTGCGAGCAGCTCCTGGTGCGCGGGTGGCAGACAGCACAGCCTGGGAACGCCATTCCCGTAAAGAGCCCGCGGTACCGGGCACTGCAGAGCCGGCTGGGGAAAACTGCTACCGGGCTCTGGCTGACGGCTTCCTGGCCCCCCACACCTGTCCTCTGGGATTTACAGCTCTGAACCATTATGAAACGGAGGCCTTAACCCGGGGGTGTCACGGAGATGCTTTTTTTTTGCCTTGAGTAAATGAATTTTCTCTTGTACCTTTAAATAACAGCCTGCTAGAGGCAAAGTCATTGAGGCCGCCCCATTTAACCTATCTGCTAAAACAAGGAAGAACTGTCAAGAGCTAATCACGACACGTGACTTTAAGGTCAGAATGGATCAGTTTTCCTTGGGTGGATTCTTCGTTGGTGTTACTAGTGTTGAACTTCAGTATAATGTACTAGGCCCATGATTTCTGACAAGATAGACTGTGCCCTTTCCAGGGCTACTCTGGAATATTAATCCTTATTCTATATGTAGGAACTGTACTATGAGAACACTGACACTGTGCAGCCAGCTTCACATTTTCATTTAATTGCTCTGCCTTCATCCTCAACCATATGGCCTGCTTTGGTAAACACTGCTTGCCTGTTGCAGTGACCTTGTACATCTCATGTGGGGCTACAAGTAAAAATAGATCTAGCTTAGATTACTTCTCCCCCAGGGTTCATTACAATATGCATGAGAATTATATTGTTTCTAGTTGTTTCTGTTGGTGTCGACATAGTTTATTCTTTTTTCCATACACCATTCTGTCAGTAAAGAAATAAATACAAATGGACAGGAGAGGAGTGTGAATTGCCAAAGTAATTTCTAGCCTGATAGCTGCAGACAGCCTGCATATGTGAGTATGGCAGAATTGAAGTAGTGTAAGTCTCTGCAATTAGAAGTCTTCTGGCTCTTAAGTCCTAGAGGCATCAATGGAGACGCCTCCTAGAGAGGAGGCACTGGTGAGGCCACACCTTGAGTTCTGTGTCCAGTTCTGGGCCCCTCAGTTTAGGAAGGACATTGAGACACTGGAGCGTATCCAGAGGAGGGCAATGAGGCTGGTGAGGGGCTGGGAACACAAGTCCTGTGAGGTCCTGAGGGAGCTGGGATTGTTTAGCTTGGAAAAAAGGAGACTCAGAGGTGACCTTATCACTCTCTACAACTCCCTGAAAGGAGGTTGTAGTCAGGTAGGGTCTGGTCTCTTTCACCAGACAGCAACCAACAGAATGAGAGGATGGAGTCTTAAGCTGGGCCAAGGGAAATTTAGGTTGGACATTAGGAAAAAGTTCTTCACAGAAAGAGTAATAAAATGCTGGAAATGGTCTGCCTGGGGAGGTGGTGGAGTCCCCATCCCTGGATGTGTTTAAAAAAAGACTGGATATGGCACTTGGTGCCATGGTTTAGTTGAGGTATTAGGCATCGGTTGGACTCGATGATCTTGAAGGTCTCTTCCAACCTTGTGATTCTGTAAAATTGGTAGGTTGTGATTTTTCTGCAGATTAGGGATTTTGTCCATGGTTCTTAGCTGGGCAAGAGCCCAAGCTTAGATACTATCCCTGTTTTGAAGCTTAATGACAGTTCAGAATACTCAGAAAATGCAGTTCTTTGACTGTGATGTGTACACTTCTTGCTATGGTGAATTTTGTCTTTAATGTGCATTTCAGTTCCACTTTTAAAAAAACATCAGGCATGCAGAAGGCAACAGTACAACATCTATAGGTATAAAAGGTAGAAAAATACAGTTTGAATGGAAGAAGTGACACTAATGTAAAGTAGTTTTGGAAACATCATTTAAAATGTGTAAAGATACTGTCAACCCAACTGCTACCAATGAAGTGTTTGATTTTTCACTTTGCTTTCCACATGTCTTCATCCTTAGCATATCATGTATTTAGTTAGAGTTCCTGCAGCCTTGCTTCCAATATGATGTGTGAGGACTCCAGGTGGGATGCAGCAGCCCCCCGGCAGGACGGGAGCGTGGGGCAAAGCGCAGCTGTCCTGGGCTCACGTTGTGCTAAGAATACCCAGGAGGCGTTGCTGCTCTGAGTGTTAGACTGCAACTTGGCAAAGCATTGGGTACTCTGGTTTCATTTGGATTTTTATACTAGTTTGAGATAGAAGATTTAAAGCTGTATGACTTTAAAAAGCAGATTTGCTGCAATATTGCTACAATTAAGCTTGTAAAATCCCATTTGTGCAGTAAAAGAGCATCTTTTTGTTTTGGATTTTTGCAGGTTTCTCGATTGCTAGGTGCTTTCAAAACCCAAAAAAAGGTGACCAGAAGTTTTGGTAATGCTGTGAGTATAATAGTCCCATTTTTTTCTTTTAAGAAGTTTCTCAATAAGTGAGTTTGGAAATTTATCACTGTTGTTATTTTTATGTTCCCAAAAAATTAGGGTCAAACAAGTGAACATGCATGCTTTTAATGCCATCCTGGATTTATATCAGTTAATCACTGTCAATTGTAACTGTATATCAGTGTGAGAATACAAAAGGCTCTAATAAAAAACAGAAGTGGCACAGAAAGTTTTCACAAAATATGAACATAAGCCACATTTCTGGAATTCATCTAGGAATGGACAAATAAATATTGGGCAAAGTAGAAAGATTGTTGAGAAGCTTCTCATTTTCTTTCTTTTGCAGTCTTCCCTCTAAGTGCTAGATTTACTTTACTGCTGCTTTTAGAATTCCTTGCATCTAAAATTCTGTCTTTTCAAGGTCCTCTTTAAACTATCTTAGACATTGTGTATTTCCCTGTAGATGTTTTTCCTTCTTCATGTGTATATGTTTGAAATGCCCATGGGCCTTTTTTTCAGTGAAGGCAGGAGCAGGGCTCAGCACCCCTAAGCAGGACTTAAAGAGGAACTGTGGTTTTTCATGCTAATGATAGCTGGTACAAGAGTTAGAAGAGAAACTAAAGAGTCACTTATACAGTATAAAAATCAGAAGGTGAGGCACTCCTGATACTATTGAAAACACAATAGTTTCAGGCTCAGGTGGAGCTCTACAGTGCTGTCAGACAGCACAGCCCTACTCTTAAGGCATTCCATCAGTGACAGCTTGCTCAGTAGCAGTGTTCTTTTATATGAAGCTCTGTTTTTTTGTTGTGGACAGTGAATTTCTTTGGCTCAAAAGTTTAAAAATCAGTCAATATGTATTGAAGTTCTGCCCTGTGAGTTGATTCTATTAGGGGTTGTTCAGATAATGTACATGAGCTGCCTTTTTTGTAGGTAATAAATAAATAAATGAGCCCGTAAAAGCTGTTGGATCTCTTTAAGTAAAACAAAATGAGCCAGAGCACATACCCTTAGAACAGTGATCATAATTTATTTTTTTCTTCAAAGCAGAATACATTCTTCCCCTGTTATTTGTTGAGCCTGGGCTGTGCATTTTTTTATTTGTTGATGATAATGAAAGAAACAAGACTGAGGACATTATGAGAGGAAAATAAGTTTGTATTGTTAAAAGTGGGTCTGAAATTTTTGGGAGGTCACTTGGGAAGTTTAGCTTGGCATGACCCTTTTTTTAAGGTGTATGTAGCTTTTCATACATGTAATAATTTCTAGCATGTGTCAGTATTATGCAGCATGTTGATAAGATTGTAGATATATGTGGAACAGAGCCATAACTAGGTAATATAACTTGCTCTCCAGATTTCCAGAGGAAAGCATGCTATATTCATTAATTTCAAGGAGCACTGAGCAGGAATCTGCCTTTCATATTCACCCTCTGTTTTGAACTAGGAATAGGTAGTAACTGAATTTTTTAACAATTCTCTTGAAACATTTGCACACTCCTTTGGAAAGCAAGCCAGTCCTTCTCACTTCTGTCTAGGACTGCTGTTCTTCATAGTGAATATTTGGTAAAGGAAAATTTCTTTTGTTTTCTAGTTACTTGGTTCCTACAACACATGAAGATGTTTTCTATGTAGAAACCAAACATTCATTTGTTGTACTACTGGTATTTCTTTACCTAGGTACAAACAGTAACTTTAATCCCAGGAGATGGCATAGGACCGGAGATTTCTGCTGCTGTCATGAAGATCTTTGATGCTGCCAAAGTAAGTCATGTTTGTCTTGCTATAAGCATTGCAAATTTAACTACAACAACAAATATTAATTAAGCATATTAAAAAAGCTTAAAATCTCTTTTAAGAGATTAAGTCATATTTAAGCTATTAAAACTTCTTTCCAGTAGAAAGAGTAATAAAAGACAGGAATGTGGTAGTAAGGATGGCTTGAAACTGTTAGCTGACAGAAGAGTAGAGACTTGAGAGCAAATGCTGTGTTTAGTTTTTGGAAATATGAACTCAATGAGTCATGTGAAATCGCCTTGTTGATGTAGTAATCCTGAGCAACTGACAGAGGATGTTCTTTCATTTATTATGACTTCAAGTGCAGGTCAAAAGTGTGTGTGAAAGGATTGACTTATTTTAGCAATCCAACTGCTGTGCTGCCAAACATTTTAACTTCAGTGATATGAAAACTGACTATATCCAAGAACTGTTCTCTTACCTATCTGAGAAATTTCTCCAGAACTTGTCAAGTTTCCTTGAAAGGAAATACAGCTCTTCAGGCAAGATGTCTGTTAAATTGTTCCACATTAGAAACAGCACCCAGGCACGTTCTCTTTTTATTACAACTAGCCAATGTGGATTTGAAAATGTGACATTTCTTTAATTATGTTGTATCTTTTCCTTTGTGATCTTTCCTGATGAAATGAATGGGTGGCAGCCTGTCTCTGCTTAGAGTTCTGTGGTGAATGCAAATTCAGAAAGCATTGTGGAGCATGTGCAGATTTTCAGTGAGATAACAGATACACATCAGTGTATAAACACAATCTTCCAGTCAGTGGGGATGACGAGTTCTCAATGAATTCAGCTTTAAAATGTTGTCTCTTGTATACAAGGAACTCAACAGCTCTAAAACCTTTAAAGAAATAGCACTTGTGTATATGACATCTAGGGTGGCATTCTGGTATTCAGTTTATGAGGATTTACTGCTCACACTATTTTATTTCCACTTAATTATATTTTTCAGAAATTACTTTAGTTCAAACATCTCATACTTACCCTCAATCACCAGAAAAAATACTTTTTGGAAAGGCCTGGACAAAATTCCTTACACACCTTTTTGTGAAAGTTAAAAATTGAAGCAAAGTCATGACATTAAAGTTAACATAGAATGTGTATATTTAGGCACCTATTCAGTGGGAAGAGAGGAATGTTACAGCTATCCAAGGACCAGGAGGGAAGTGGATGATACCCCCAGAAGCCAAAGAATCCATGGATAAAAACAAAATGGGATTAAAAGGTATTCTAGGGGTTAATACACAGATATTAAATACTGTTGTGTTTATCATGAGTTTGATGTAAAGCCAAAGTTTTTCCTCTGTAGCACAATAAAATGAGTAATTATAGGGAACAGCCTGTCAAGTAATTGTCTGAATCTTGGACCATTCCTTCATTTCCAAGCCATAGGTTTGATAGTTGTTGTAGTTGAAGGTGAGTACATTTGGACTCTCTGCAGAAGGCATTTCTAAGATAAACAACAGTATGCAATAACTACATTACTAATGAGCAGTATTTTTATGTTTTAATGAATACATTTTGTAAAATCTGTTCCATATAAGGCTTGCAATTTGGCCTTTACTCAGCTGATTAATGGGCCTGTGCAGAAGTTGACAGAACAGAGAATTCCCGTGGCATTCTACCATAAGGGTTAAACAGGAATTTGGAGATCCTCTGTAGGAGTCCCACTTGACCTAGAGTTTCAGCTCTCAGATCCACAGAGGGGTTTATTTTCTCGTTCCTTTAGCTGCTTACACTATTTCATTTCCACTTAATTACATTTTTCAAAAATTACTTTAGTTCCTTTTCTTTCAAAAATTACAGCTCGTTCCTTTGTTTTCTTCAATCCTTGTGTATCTTTTTTTTTTTCTCTAGGGCCTCTGAAGACCCCAATTGCTGCAGGGCACCCATCGATGAATTTGCTGCTGCGTAAAACCTTTGACCTTTACGCCAACGTGCGTCCGTGCGTGTCCATCGAGGGCTACAAAACCCCCTACACAGACGTGAACATCGTCACCATCCGTGAGAACACCGAGGGCGAGTACAGCGGCATCGAGCACGTGGTGGGTGCTCACCTGCTGCCTTCTGCTGTCCTGCTGCTTCAGCACTGCTAACTTAGCCTTTCTCACTGGGGTTCAGTGAGAATTTTTATGTTTGGCACTCATAAAAATGTTCCTCTATTGTGAAATGCATTCTGCCTCACTCAGAATTCTGCTGCTTGGTTCCAAATGGGAAGAATGAACTTGCACTGCTGATACACTTCCTGTCTTTCAGATTGTTGATGGGGTTGTGCAAAGCATCAAGCTGATCACAGAGGAAGCCAGCAAGCGCATTGCAGAGTTTGCTTTTGAATATGCCAGAAACAATCAGAGAAGCCACGTGACTGCTGTGCACAAGGCAAATATTATGTATGTTGACACTTCTTTTGAGAAAAGCAAAACAAAAAAAAAAATCCCCAAACATTTCTTTATAAAGAACTGCTTTAAGTTTTATTCAAATGTGGAACTTCTGTTGATGGCACTGGGAGACAGTAAAATGGCAAAAAAGTCAAGTAAATGCCTCCTAAGTAAAATACAGGGCTGAGATAATTGTGTACCAATGTTCTTATTAGCAAGTTTGTAGTAATCCTTCCTTCCAAAGCTCTTATTTTAGAAACTTTTAAACAAAGAAAATTATTTTAAAAGCTGAGGATTAACGTGGCTGGTGTCTTTTGCTTCCACACCACTTTATACTGAACTGAGTCATAACATGTGTGATATTATGTGACATCACCTTCACAAATTCACTGAGCCTTTCATAAATGAATACAACTCATTCTAAGAATTAATGTATGCTACTTAAACCACTGATACAGAAATATTTTAGGAGGGATAAATAGTCACAAATTAAGTTTCTGAATTCTAATTAAACCCCTGTTGCATGCAGTTTTCTTTATCTCCAGTACTGCTTCCTTACAATAAATGCAATATTCTCTTGCTTATCTAATTGCAGGAGAATGTCTGATGGGCTTTTCTTGAGAAAATGCAGGGAGGCAGCAGAAAACTGTAAAGATATTAAATTTAATGAAATGTATCTGGATACTGTATGTCTGAATGTGAGTATTTATGTTTTAGTTGTGGATTGATTTTTTTTTTAGTTTAAATTCTTAACCTGAATGAAAATATACTTCCTTCTAGATGGTTCAGGATCCATCTCAATTTGATGTGCTTGTTATGCCAAACTTGTACGGTGACATCCTCAGGTATGGAGATTTTAATTTAAATTCCCAACATGTAAAATACTGATACTTTTCCTGACACAATCATTGAGGTCACATGCAAGCCAGATGGGTGAATATCTTGTGCACTCAGACTTCTTAACAGACATTGACTGCTTCAATTATTAATATACTGATGGGAGAGGCTATATGATGAGATTGTATTTTTTATTTTGAAAAATCTGTTTCTGCTTATGGAGGTTATGAATATTGGTCAGATGGGACAGAGAGAAATTTCTCCAAATGCCTGAAGAATATAATGGCTTACATTGTAATAGAGAATGAATGCCTGGTTAGATATTAGAGAAAAACTTTCTCATCCTCAGCACTAAAACAGATTGTGTAGGGTGACTGTGGGACCATGATGTACAACAGGGAGCTCATCATACAGTTAAATCAGTCTGCATAGTCACTGAAGAACAAAATGTGTACCCTCTTAATATTCTGCCAGCTCTTGGTTTATGTATTACTTTTCCTTACCTTCAAGTTAAATTTTATATTTGAATAACATCAGTACTAGAGGTTCTTTGTGTCTTGAAGGCAAAACCCATCAGCATGCATTTTCCATTCTGTAAAATTATTAGGTAGAATGTAAATTCCATTAAACACCTGGAAAATTAAGTGTTTTAATCTGAACTATTAAGTGTATTATGTAACATGGTTTCTTCTCACACCTCTAAGGAGAGATTGAGAAAAGAGCCTGAACTGGAATTTTTATTTACATGTTCGACTATTCACATCTTAGAATCCATCTCCTGGTTTTGTACAGATGATAAATTTAAAGGTAACTTATGTATAAAAAGAAGAAATGATTCTTAAGCTTCTCTTAGAGCAGCACTCTCTGTGATAAGGCTGTGCACACTAAGAAATATCAGATTCTAACTAATGCTTCTTGCTTTTAGAATTGGTGAAGGCGTGCACAGGGTCCTCACAGCAGCTCTTACACTGTTAACTAAGATCAAATCAGAGGAGTCTCATCATCAATAGCATTTCACAGAGTTCATTATCACCCATTTTCAAGTTCTCATAGAAATTCTGTAAAAAATTTCATCATTCTAAAACTTTTCATTAAATTTGAGTCTGTTCTTGAAGAGGGCATTGTCACCACTGGGTAACATCTCACCTGCTGCTCTACAAGTATGAACAAAATGCCAAGCAGGTTCCTTAGACTGAATAGGCAGAAGACATTCTCTTCTCTTTAAGCATTAAATACTTAGAGTGACAAATGCAGACTATTCAGTTTTTCCCTAGGCTCTATGCAATTTAAGTGGTTTATTTTAGCTTAAAATATTGTACTGCCAAGTCATCCAAACTTTTCTCCTTGTTAGTCCTAAGCTAAGGACTAACTTAGCTTAGTATGAGCCAGGGTGTAGGCAATAATTATGTATGGATGTGAAAATAACAGTTTTAAGAGCTTTGTTCATCAGTGTGTTCAGCCTAGAGAGTACAGTATGATGACAATAGGCACAGCTGGTTTGTCCTTCCCCGTGTTAATTTTGGTGGAAACCAAATGCAGATTGCTTATATCTGATGATCTGCTAATGTCAGACTTGTGACCTGCAGACTGTTCATTAAAGAGAGGGAGAAAGTTAGTCTGGTGTCACTTGGAAAATGTTCCTTAAGCTGCACACTACAAAACCACCAGTAACTTGCCTACCTGAGCAAAATTCCTCCACATTTTTTAGAAGGAATTTACATATGAAAAGTAGTTCTGGGCGCCTTCAGAGGAAGTAAGATTTTTGTATAGTTACAGGGAACTGTACATAAAAATTAGTTTTTCAGATTTCTACACATATTCTGTGCTTTTAGTACTTCTCGTTGTGCCCGTGTCTTATCAGCTTTATTCTAGTATTTGGAATTTCCTTTTTATTTTCCTTTATTACATCATCTTCTGCTGTAGTTTTAAGAATTTTCCAATGTTCTACTGGGGTGGCTAACAGCATCTGTTCTTTCTCCATATTATTCTCAGATTGTGCAGGTGTATAAATTAAGTTACAGTTGCAGTTGATTGATAAACAAAAATGTTTTAATACCTTGCAGAGAGGCAACTGTGTATGGAAAACCTGGTGGATTGTTTAATTTGGCGGTTGGGTTTTTTTCAGTGACTTGTGTGCTGGACTCATCGGGGGTCTTGGAGTAACACCCAGTGGAAACATTGGTGCCAACGGCGTGGCCATTTTTGAATCCGTAAGTCTTGTTACACAAGGCAGAGCAGTAATAACTTTGTCTCAACTTCAGAGTCTAAACTTTTTCCTGCTATACAATGTGGATGACATTTATCTAACCAAGTTCTTTGCAGAACTCCTTTTTACTGTGAAGATGCTCAGGCTTTACCCTGAGAGACTGGTTAAAGTAAATATTCCATGTAGGTTTTTTGCACATCCTTTTTTTGACTGATACTTTATTTTCCCACTTTTTCATATGATAAATACCCCCTATGAAATAGAACTTGATGGGCACAATTTAAAGATATTAGGTGACCTAGTTTTCCCTTTCTGATGTCTTTGAACTGAATTGTTTTGGTCCTTGGTATGTCCTGACTGTACCACAGCAAAGTCCTGTTTTAACATGAAGACCTGTGGTTCAGGTTGCTTGCACAACTGCCTAGGACATTTTAATCAGCCTAGTAACATTATAACAGATAGGTTTACTCTCATTTCTAGGTTCATGGAACAGCACCAGACATTGCAGGAAAAGACATGGCAAATCCAACTGCCCTCCTTCTGAGTGCTGTGATGATGCTGCGCCACATGGGAATGCACAAACATGCCACAAAGATCGAGTCAGCTTGCTTCGATACAATTAAAGATGGAAAGGTAACATGAGGGTGTGCAAATAAACACAGTGAGTTAAAATCATATTGTATCAAAGCAAGAATTAACTTGGAAGATTCACACCAGAGTGGGGATGCCTGCTGAGCTGGCCTGTTGCATGAGCAATGCCACTGTCCTTCTCTGACAGTAATTATATTATCTTTGATGATATTATATCTGCCCAGCACAGTAATAAGGGAACAGGCTGTAGCATTCCTTTTGTTTCAGCAATGCTCATCTTACATTTCCACAGCTTTATGAACTCCAGAACAGTGAACTGGATGGCTGTTTTTCAGGAAAGGAATCAGAGTTTTAAGTAACTCTTAGCATTTCACTTAGGAAGTTTATGAAATGTACAAAGCATATATGTTAAAATCTGGATCTGGAAGTGAAGGACAATCATTTGCCTTTCACAGCCTTCATCATCCACTTTTTTATAGCATTTCAGTCCTGACTAATACTTCTGTTTTTTCAGCTCAATTATTTTCTTTTTTCATTCCTACTGCTTTCAGTCATTCTTTGACTACGAAAGAACAGTTTTTATCCAGTATTAACTTTTTTCTATAAGGGTTATATAAGTTTCTCTTTGGAAGTGAGTGTCTTCAGATTCACGACTCAAATGGGATATTGGGGGAGAAGAGGCTTGTGATCTGAAACTTGACAAATTTGTGGTCTTACCGTTATTGGTTCACTCCTCTACATTGATGTTCATCTCTTGAAAACATAGTTGGAAAGATCTTGAAGATAGAAGTTAAAGAGGATTAGCAACTAGTCATGCTGGTTCATTTATCTTAGGACCATGAGAAGCTGCTTTGTAATTGAAAGTAACAAGAATGCTGAAACCAAAAGCTGTCAATAGTTTTGTAAGTTTGCAGCTATCTTGCTGTGTGTAGGAGCCAGTAAAAAATCTAAACTTACAACTGAATAAAGAGGTGCTCCTGTAAAGTTCCCATTTACTGCTCTGGAAATGAAATCTTCCATCTGCAGGTCAGTAATTCCGTGGAAGATAATAGTGCAAGTTTTGTGACATGGCTACTTGTTTACTAGTTACTTACAATGTTACAATTATATGCTCACAATGGAGAGAATATTTTTAATTGAAAAATAATAATGCAATTTAAATTGCAAGATCCTAAAATAGTAACCATGATTGCTCCTCTTGCTTGTTATTCCTCCCTTCCTCTCAACCAGTTAATTAATATATGTGTATGTTGGGGGCAAAACTAATAATTTTAATTTTCTTTTAGAGTGCTTTAATCTAGCTAGGCTGGGAAAGCAATGTTGCCCACTTTTTTTATTTTTATTTTACTGTCTTCATGATGCCAGACAGGAGTTGTACTTGATGAAAGAGATTTTTAACTCTGCATTTCCTATCTCTTAAATAAACTAAGTAAACTTTGAGAATTGTTAACATGCAGCATTAAGAGTTATGTGTGCTTGTTCTGCATGGGTTTCCTTAAAAAAAGACCCAATCTTTCTGCATTAGTCTCAATTAGTTGTCCTTGTACTGAGCCTTCATATATGAATTTTACTTCCAAAGGACAAACTTCTTACTGAAATTTGTAAATACTTACTGAAAATGTAAATACTCTTACTGAAGATGTAAATACTTAACCATTAATAACACCATTAAAGGACTTTATAGAGCTGTGACCACACACACTTTCTTTCTGTAGTTAGGATAAAAAAAAAACTGAATAGGCAGAAAATCACCTTCAAATGTTAAAATCACCTTCAAATCTGATAACATTGTAAGTACTTCATATATAGTCAGGTTTTCTCTCTCTGCACAGTCATTATTGATGAAGTATCTATGGGATGCAGAACTCAAACTTGCTGTATTCCTGCTCACCTTATTTACTGTACATGACTGACAGTAATATTATTATTATTTTCTTTCTTTCTTTCAGGTCTTGACAAAAGACTTGGGAGGCAATGCTAAGTGTTCAGAATTCACAGAGGAGATCTGCCGCCGAGTACGGGACAAAGACTAAACCTCCTCCTGCTCCTGCTGATGACTCTGGAAGGACACACCATGGAGCCCAGTATATGTAACCTGATATCCACATGCATAGAGTTTGCTTATCTCTTGAGAGCAAACTTTTTAGCTGAGGCCTCTCCATTAATAAATCTAGTCCAAATGGCTACAAATGATGCTTGTGCCTGCTTTTGGTGGACTTTTCCAAGTGCTTTGTCTTATTTATTCTTTTTTTTTATCTGGTGAACATTTTTATGTAAGTGAATTCTTTTATTGGCACTGTAACTGTCTAATATTTTCCATTTCAATTGGAGGGCTTTACTTTCCACATAGAAAAATTATGCAAACAAACCAGCAACAGAATTAGTGAAATATAAAAGCACCTTAATGTTTAAAACCTATTTTATTGATCTTGTTGAAATTAAAAAGAATAGCACAAGATGATCTTCATACACAGAAATGGGTATAAAATAACTTAAAATAGCAATTTTATATTAGAAGCAATGAGAAAACCACTTTAGATACTCTGGTGATACATGAAATACAGCCCTGCCCATCAAAGGTATGAATTAAGAAATATAAAATTCTAGAGATTTAATCTATTTCTGTCTTTTAAAAACACCTACAACCATTAACAAGGGGTGAAAATGAATGCTTAAGCAAAGTTATTTTTCAAATCTATATACCAAAATATTTCTTATAAGTTTTCCTCTCTGAAACACATTTTACAATTGAGTTATAATGAGGGCAAACTATACAAAATTACTTCTGCCATGTATATTGTGAGGGGACAGTATTAACTTTGCAAATTTAAGTATTTCATTAATTCAGCTAGAATGCTTTTTGTGTTGTAGTTTCTGCACAGTCTGTTCAGTGTGTCTTCCTGTATTAACTAGTAATTTTATTCTAGAAACTGAATGTAAGAGACTAGTCCTAAATGGATTAAGACAGATCAACAGTTTGACTCTGGTGCCTATGTTCCAGAAATACATTTCATCCCTATTCAAGGGGATCTGAATCTATTTTTTCCTTGCATACTAAGCTTAATGAGTGGAAAAGCAACTCACTGCCCTCCCCTCCCCAGCAGATGCAGATCATCACTTGAGTCGTTCTGATCTGTTGATATCAAGGAATTGCTTCCATTCCTGCACCTGACAAGAAAATACCTATTTTCAAACTTGTTGGTATAGCACAGGATTATCCCTCCTGCCAGAAACAGGCTCCTTACAGCTTCATTCTATTCATAGAAAGTAACTAAGTGGAGTAATATCTATTATGACTGTTTTGGGCTGGTTATTTCAGAAGTAAAACAACTTTGGAGTAACAACTTCTCATGTCACTCTCTAAAGTAAGCATCCCAGCTTTTTTATACAGTCTAAAACATGCTGGAAGAGCTTTATTCCTCCCACACTGCTTTTCGTGAATAGGGCAACATTTCTTTCTGTTTTACAAGCTGCTGCTTCCTTGTTTCCTTCAGATTAATGCTGTTAAAGAAATTCTGAATTACCATTGCGCACAAAATGGGGAAGAATAAACTTTTCAAAGTCCTGTTGCTCATTTTGTTTTTATAATCCTAGGCTGCTGCTTTGTCTTATGTATGGAGCTGATTATTGTTATTTGCAACAAATCTTACATCTGTAAGATGTATGAGACTGGTAATGGAACTTTTATGGAAATCTTATCCTGTTGTGCATCATTTTTTTGTCTCAATAATGGGCTGCCTTCCTGTGTGAGCTACTCGAGCTGTCTGCCAGAGATCACTTACAGCACACCCTTTAGACAACTTCGTACCAAGCACTTCCTTCTCGTAATATGATTTGTTTTGCATATGGATAGGAAGAAATGCAGCACACATTTATCAGAATTAGTATAATATGAATACTGAAACATGCAGATACACACTGACAAGCACTGTAAGCAATTTTACAGAAGTTTCTGTAATAGCATTTTAATGTGAGAGCTCCTGTAGTTCTTTGTGCCTTTCAGTTTTAGGGAGCTATTCCCCTGCTTTTTCTGATTATTTGTTTTTATGAGAAATAGTAATGCTTATTCCAGCATAGACTTAAGAAGTGAATTGCTGTGTTCACAGAAGTCTGAATTGTAGGTATTACAGAAACAGGAGTGTCTTCAGGTTTTGAAATGTGTTAGTGAAAAATAAAGTGTTCTCTGGGAGGGGAAAAAAATCCCAGCCCTTTTGATTTTTTTTTTTAATAATTATCACTGGAGTGGTATGACAGTTTCATTAGGCAGTACTGCTGTCTGACAAAATATATCATGAGCTACAGGAAACATCCAGTAGAACTGAAGAGAAAAAAGGAAAATGGAAGACTGTATAAAAAAACTTTGTTTCAATCTAGAGGAGTTAGTTATATCTGCTTTATGCAACACAGAAGAATGTTTTAGTCATTCAGGTCATAAAGTAAAAGCAGTAATAGAGAATGGACACTGTAGATGCTTCTGTAAAAAGAGGACAAATGATCAGGTGAGTATCAGGAACAACTAAACTGACAGCAGCTTTCTATTGGTTTGGTTCAATAGACTACTCAAACTCAAAGCATAAATCTTTGTTAATGCTTTTGATGAGAAAATACTTCCTTTTCCTCACAGATTTTTCTTAATGCTTGGAGAAACACTTTTTATTCTTTATAGAAGGAGTCTACTTCACTTTGGTATTTCTCGAGCACAGCAAGCCGCTTCAGCTTCATTGTAGGACCTTAAAAGAGGGAGAATCAATTCCAGAAATAGGAACAAAAATTCATACTCAGTTTTTTGAGCTTTGGTGCATAAGTTTCTTATTGAAGAGCCTGTTGGGAAGAACATGCCCCCCTCTAAAGCACAGATAAATGCTAAAAGTGAGAAGCAAGTGTGATCTGTGAGGCTGCATCCATATAAGCATGAGGACTTCAAAGGGAGCTGCAGATAAGGGCGGTAACTTGCTACTGTTTTCATAAAAATATGTTTTTGAAAGCTTTTAAACTATTCCCAGTTTATTCAAAGAGCCTGGTAATGTGCTTTGGGCTCCATTATCAGGCTTTCACTATCTTGCCTCTTTTGTTTGTTTTCTTTTAAAGAGAAACTTTTGATGCCTTAAGTTTTAGCTTTTATATTTTCCAGATCAGTACTGCTTTAGTGTATAACTCTCAAACTCCATAGCCTGTCAGCTACTGTTCTCCTGTTTTATTAAAAAAAAACAATTTCTCTCTAGGCCTGAAACCCAAGGTCACCTTATTTTCACAGGCCCCAAAAAATGTAAACTCCAGAGAAGTAGGGCAGGCAAACTGGGGGAATGAGACTCCACTACCTGAAGCTGTAATTGGACATGAACCTCTGATATGCAAATGGATCAAATTTACATCTGTCTAAAAAGTGTGATAGTGGTCCTTTTTGGGTGTAGTCTCTGCAAGACTCCTGCACTGCCCAAGGTGTACCTTGTGAAGGCCTTTCAATAAATACCTTTCTCTTTTAACTCTGTCTAGCCTCTGTTCTAGCCATTCCAGGCATCACCTACACTATTATTACTGGAAGTTATTAATACACAATTATTAATGCCCAAGGAATTAATCAAAATTGCTTAATTACCTAAAGCAATCTGTAATTTAAGAACTCTACTTGCAAATGAGCACAGATTCATAAATGTGTGGATGGCAAAAAACCCAATTTTTGTATTCCTTACCACACACTGCATAACCATTTTTCCTTTCCCTATACTGAATATTCTTACATCAGCAGCCTCTTACTTTGTGTACCTCAAGATAAATCAGTAAGTCTTACCTAGTTCTCCACCAGAAATGGAAAAATCTCTTGGCAGGATGATCCATTTCTGAATGCAGTGAACCCTGTTGGTAGCAGTGTTGTTGACTCTGTTGATTCCCTCCTGGATGGCCCTGTAGATCGCCTGGTCTCTCGTAGCTACAATCTCAGACACTTTGGTGGCTTTACTACCAATCCTCTGGCAGAAGTCTCTGGCTTGCTCTGTGAGAATGTCAGTAGGATCAGATGTATCTGGGTCCAGCACACTCTAAAATATCAAATGAAGTGAATAATGAAATGCTCATTCTTAAAAGGCATTAACAGGTTTGCTGCCCAGGCCCTCCCCATTGGGAAGAAGGCTCAGGATAAACACACAAATATTCAATAAATCTTAAAAAGCAGAAACACCTACAGATCATAAAGGGCTTTTCTTTCCACTTGGCTACCAAATGCAAATATTTTCAGCTTATATGCAGATGTCATGAACAGACTTAAAACATGTGAATTAATTAGTCCATAGAGTCCATCTCTGACCTTGAATTTCTGCCCTATTTTCCAAATGATTCCATTGTTACAGGGAAACATTTAGCTCATCATTCAGTGGAATAATTATGGTGTAATGTAAACAGCTTGAGATAGAAGTGCTCTTAGACTTCTTAAATCAGTATTTCTATTGTACCTGAAGATAGGGAATATCAATCATAGAGGTAAACAACTTGAAAACACCTAAGTGGCATTCAGGTATGTCCACAGAACTGAAGTTTTAGGAAAACAGAACTGATGTTTTAGGAAAACAGTGATTTCTCAATTGAAGCTTATACCACAGCAAGGCTATTAATTATTTTGTTCCACAGTTATCATTCTTGTGTTATAAAAATAACAAATTAGAGGGAAATGTTTCTGTTGGAAAGTTTCCAGGTTTGCCCATAACAGAAATATCGGTTTGTTTTGCTCATCTGTAAGCGTAAAAGCTATTGTTGTGTTCTGTTACAGAAACTTCTCGATCTTCCAGCATTTCTAATATTAAAATTTGCATTTAAATAGAAAATAGCTCTTATTGTATATGTAGGAGAAACAGCAGTAAATATGTGGATTTTTAGCAGATCAGGTAACCCTAAGTTTAGACCCAGCTGGATTTGTCTGTAGTTGTTTCATGTTTTTTCCTCCTGCTAACATCCTCCTATCTAATTTTAGTTCTTTTTATAAATGATTCAAAATTATTATTATTTTGTTAGGTGCAGGTGTGTAACTTCACTGAAGGCAGTAATAAAACTGGTTTACCTTTAGGGTTAGGAACATTGACAAAAACTTCTTCTTATCTCCAATGACCATAGCATTACTAACAATTGGGAGCTCTTTTTTAACAGCATCTTCGATTGCAATTGGAGGCACGTTTTCACCTCCAGCTGTAATAATCAAATCTAGG